TTAATTATTTGGGCGAGTAGATTACATACAAAGTCAATGCAAAGACGCATCATTCGCGCCGGGCGTTGCGAATGACGCGAATTGGGCGACGCGTTTGCCGCGAATGTCCTCCGCGCAAGTTGAAAATTTTGAACTCGAGCGAATGTTCAAGCGTCTAACTAAACGCGATAGACGCGTATTTGACGCTCTATTCGCGTTAGGTGTGAACACACCATTACACAGGTTGCAGTGAGAATACACAATCAATTATTGCTACAGGTGCAGCTTAAATAGAACATCACATGGCATGGACACATGACAAACACACCTGAGAGGAATCCACAATAATTGGGAGCACACTCATTAACCAATCAATCAATTAACATGACACATTACACAATGCACAAATACGCCTTTCTGCAGTGTGTTATGAGTTCAAAGCTTCACAAAACAATAATTCCACAGTAAAAACTGCTCCAGATTTGGAATTCATTAAGAACAGCTGTCCTATAACGGGACAATGTCCACTTTAACGCACCCTCTGAGGCGGCCAAGAAACAGCGCCACCAATTGGGCCGAAGGCGCAATACGCTCTGTGCATTGTGAAAAGTCAAGTCCAAAGCTTCATAAAACAATAATTCCACAGTAAAACTGCTCAAGATTTGGATTTCATTAAGAACAGCTGTCCTATAACGGGACAATGTCCACTTTAACGCACCCTCGGAGGCGGCCGAGAAACAGCGCCACCAATTGGGCCTAAGGCGCAATACGCTCTGTGCATTGTGAAAAGTCAAGTCCAAAGCTTCATAAAACAATAATTCCACAGTAAAAAAAAATCTAAAGTAAAACCTGTTTAAAATGTGGATTTCGTTAGAGGAGTAGCTCTACTATAATAGGATAATGTCAAATTTAACGCACCCTCTGATGCGGCCGAGAAACAGCGCCGTGAAATGGGCAGAAAATGTATTAGGCGGCTCATTGTGCATTGTGTAAAGTGCCAAGTTCAAAGACTCATAAAAATAATATTCTACAGTAAAAACTGCTCAAAATTTGGATTTCGTTAAAGGAGTAGCTCTGTTATAATGGGACAATGTCCAATTTAACGCACCCTCTGAGGCGGCCGTGAAACAGCGCCCCGAACTGGGCAGAAAATGTATTTGGCGGCTCTTTGTGCACTGTAAAATGCAAAATTAAAAGATTCATAGAAAAAAAATTCTACAGTAAAAACTGTTTAAACTGTGGATTTCATCAGAGGAACAGCTGTCCTATAATAGGATAATGTCCAATTTAACGCAACCTCTGAGGCGGCCGAGAAACAGCGCCGCGAAATGGGCAGAAAATGTGTTAGGCGGCTTATTGTGCACTGAAAAATGCTAAATTAAAGAAATCATTTTAAAAAATGTATACAGTAGAAACTGCTCAAAATTTGGATTTCGTTAAAGGAACAGCTGTCCTATTATAGGACAATGTCCAATTTAACGCACCCTCTGAGGCGGCCGAGAAACAGCGCCGCGAGATGGGCAGAAAATGTATTAGGTGGCTCATTGTGCATTGTGTAAAGTGCCAAGTTCAAAGACTCATAAAAATAATATTCTACAGTAAAAACTGTTCAAAATTTGGATTTCGTTAGAGGAGTAGCTCTATTATAATGGGACAATGTCTAATTTAACGCACCCTCTGAGGCGGCCGAGAAATAGTGCCGCAGAATGGGCAGAAATGCATTAGGCGGCTTATTGTGCACTGTAAAAAGCTAAATTAAAAAATTCATTAAAAAAAAATATACAGTAAAAACTGCTCAAATTGTGGATTTCGTTAGAGTAGGAGCTCTAGTCTAATGGGACAATGTCAAATTTAACGCACCCTCTGAGGCAGCCGAGAAACAGCGCCGCAGATTGGGCAGAAAATGCATTAGGCGGCTTATTGTGCACTGTAAAAAGCAAAATTCAAAAATTCATTAAAATAAAATTCTACAGTAAAAACTGCTCAAAATTTGTTTTTCGTTAGAGTAGTAGCTCTACTCTAATGGGACTTTGTCAAATATAACGCACCCTCTGAGGCGGCCGAGAAACAGCGCCACGAAATGGGCAGAAAATGCATTAGGCAGCTTATTGTGCACTGTCTAAAGTGCAAAATTCAAAAATTCATTAAAAAAAAATTATACAGTAAAAACTGCTCAAAATGTGGATTTTGTCAGAGTAGGAGCTCTATTATAATGGGACAATGTCAAATTTAACGCACCCTCTGAGGCAGCCGAGAAACAGCGCCGCAGATTGGGCAGAAAATGCATTAGGCGGCTTATTGTGCACTGTAAAAAGCAAAATTCAAAAATTCATTAAAATAAAATTCTACAGTAAAAACTGCTCAAAATTTGGATATCGTTAGAGTAGGAGCTCTAGTCTAATGGGCCTTGGTCAAATTTAACGCACCCTCTGAGGCGGCCGAGAAACAGCGCCACGAAATGGGCAGAAAATGCATTAGGCAGCTTATTGTGCACTGTCTAAAGTGCAAAATTCAAAAATTCATTAAAAATAAATTCTACAGTAAAAACTGCTCAAAATGTGGATTTCGTCAGAGTAGGAGCTCTAGTGTAATGGGACTTTGTCAAATTTAACGCACCCTCTGAGGCGGCCGAGAAACAGCGCCACGAAATGGGCAGAAAATGCATTAGGCAGCTTATTGTGCACTGTCTAAAGTGCAAAATTCAAAAATTCATTAAAAAAAATCTACAGTAAAAACTGCTCAAAATTTGGATTTCGTTAGAGTAGTAGCTCTACTCTAATGGGACTTTGTCAAATTTAACGCACCCTCTGAGGCGGCCGAGAAACAGCGCCACGAAATGGGCAGAAAATAAATTAGGCAGCTTATTGTGCACTGTCTAAAGTGCAAAATTCAAAAATTCATTAAAAAAAAAATCTACAGTAAAAACTGCTCAAAATGTGGATTTCGTCAGAGTAGGACCTCTAGTCTAATGGGACTTTGTCAAATTTAACGCACCCTCTGAGGCGGCCGAGAAACAGCGCCACGAATTGGGCAGAAAATGCATTAGGCAGCATATTGTGCACTGTCTAAAGTGCAAAATTCAAAATTTCATTAAAAAAATATTCTACAGTAAAAACTGCTCAAAATTTGGATTTCGTCAGAGTAGGAGCTCTAGTCTAATGGGACTTTGTCAAATTTAACGCACCCTCTGAGGCGGCCGAGACACAGCGCCACGAAATGGGCAGAAAATGCATTAGGCAGCTTATTGTGCACTGTCTAAAGTGCAAAATTCAAAAATTCATTAAAAAAATATTCTACAGTAAAAACTGCTCAAAATGTGGATTTCGTCAGAGTAGGAGCTCTAGTCTAATGGGACTTTGTCAAATTTAACGCACCCTCTGAGGCGGCCGAGAAACAGCGCCACGAATTGGGCAGAAAATGCATTAGGCAGCATATTGTGCACTGTCTAAAGTGCAAAATTCAAAATTTCATTAAAAAAATATTCTACAGTAAAAACTGCTCAAAATTTGGATTTCGTCAGAGTAGGAGCTCTAGTCTAATGGGACTTTGTCAAATTTAACGCACCCTCTGAGGCGGCCGAGAAACAGCGCCACGAAATGGGCAGAAAATGCATTAGGCAGCTTATTGTGCACTGTCTAAAGTGCAAAATTCAAAAATTCATAAAAAAAAAATTCTACAGTAAAAACTGCTCAAAATGTGGATTTCGTCAGAGTAGGAGCTCTAGTCTAATGGGACTTTGTCAAATTTAACGCACCCTCTGAGGCGGCCGAGAAACAGCGCCACGAATTGGGCAGAAAATGCATTAGGCGGCTTATTGTGCACTGTCTAAAGTGCAAAATTAAAAAATTCCATCAAATACAGCTAAGATGTAGAGCCCCCAATTGAGCCAACAATGCAATGGCTTTTTATACAGTAAAACGTGAAATTGTGCATGATTAGGCTATATTCAAGCAGATACAGGGTAAAACATCAGTAAAACCAAATAGGCCAACAATGTGATAACTCTTCTGTATTTTGTCAGATTCATTGGGTCCATATCTTTCTAATGTACAGTAACCATGCAATGGCACTTTCAAGTCAATGCAATTGAATTTAATTCATACAGTCATTTGTATAACCCTTTTCACAATACATATTATTTCAAGGCAGCTTTACAGAAAATGCAGGTTTCTATGTTACAAAACCACAATAGGATTTAATGAGATGATATCAGAAAGTACAGTTATAAGATACCACAAATTATAGTATTTACAAATATCATATATGCATCTAAGCAAAATTGATGTGTATGTTAAAGCAATTATAAATAGATCATTTTGTATAATCATTCATGTTTGATGTTCTGGAGTCCTTGCAAGGGTAGGTTTCATCTATTCAAATGTGCTGGGTCATCTGAAGTCTTCATAAGAGGCTGGATCCAAGCTGGAGCATAATCTCAGTACCTTGTGAAATTCTAATTTGTAATAATAATAATTAAAAAAAAAATGTATTGAATACATTCAAATGATGTTATTTGCAATAATTAAAGAATAATGTAGGCCTAATTATATTTTTACAGACATTTATGTGTTATTATTATTTATTTACCTTTCAAAATACTTTATTATTCTTTTCTGAAAAATATAAACAATACAAACAGGGTCTCTAATAAGTGTGAATAAGTGAAAAACCACACGGTCCCTAAATTGATCTGATGACATACAATAATTAAAGAATAATGTAGCCTAATTATATTTATGTGCTTTAATATTTGTACAGTCCATTTTCGCTGATATATCAGTGTTATTTGCTTTTAAACATTTTTTATTATCATTTTATTCGGAATATAGACCCAAAAGTAACACAATCCCTTTAAACACGCGAAAAAGAGAAAACCGCACGGTCCCTAAGTTGAGCGTCAATAAGAAGCCAGCAAACGCGGATGTTCGCGTCATTTAAGGTGGAACGGATAGCGTCAATAAGAAGCTGCGAATAAGAAGCTGGATTCAGCCTCGTCTTTAAATGTTTATGTGATGTCAAACCTTCTGTTCAACCTCCTCCATCAGTTCCACAATATCAAATGGCAGGTTCTTCTTGTTTGGCACTGGATAGCGACTGATGTCCTCTGAACTGCTGTGTCGTGTGTGAGGAGCTGCTATTTTCACACAAACTCGGCTTGCTGGGGAAACTGAACACTGCAAAGGACAGGGCTTGGTTGATATCGTAGCACAATTCATACTAACAAACAACTTGAAGAAGTCATAATCCAAGTTCAGCAATTACAGAGTGATAAAAGTGTTTATGATTACAAGCAATTACAGAAAGACATACTGTGTGCAGGTATTGCGTGCAATTACTGACGCTTTAAAACAATATATTGTTACGTCACAGTTCAGAAAACGAATTAATTTATAAAAAACCTTACCATTATTCCAAAATTAGAGCGGTGAATAAGCTTAAAAGCACCACGTAACGACATTGTTAAACTTTATCATGCAATGGTGCTCTCTGTGTTTATTTAGGGGAAATACAGTCACGTGTTCTAATGGGCAGCCAATCAGCGAGTCTTGTTCTGACACGCCTCATTGCCGATCGACCAATGGAATTTTACTTTCTGCTTCACGTATGGAAATGAAGCAAAGCATGATATGAGTCCATAAAACAGTGTCAAAGTAAAAGTGTATTTGTGTGCGCGTGAAGAGCAAAATAGTAATTACTATTAAATTATTATTATTTTAACTAGAATAATATTGTGATCTGTTTCTCCAACTACCACTGAAGTCCTGATGACATGTTCTGTGATCATTCATAAAGATGATGACCAGTGTTTGATTAGCTAGTGATACAAGTCGAAATCCTGTCAAACAGTTGCACGCTACGGGGACTTTTATTTTGAACTTTACTCTGCACTACTCTCTGCTTATCCGGAAATAAATGTTATTGTTGGAGTCGCTGTTTTCTGATAAGATACAATCCATTTTTACATCATATGTATACATTTTTTTGCATTTTAATAAACGCGTGATTATGGCTGGGTACGGGGTGATGGCAGATGAGGAATCTCTGGATTATTCAGTACATGAAGCCTGGAATGAGGCCACTAATGTTTACCTGCTGGTTATTTTGGTCAGTTTCGCCCTGCTTATGTACGCCAGAAAGTAAGTCTCCATTTAATTTCATATTCATTATCGCACGATCATCCAAATATATTGACCTGTAAACATGATCACAATGACACGTAAAAGCTGTCTCGATTAAATCTTTTACACAAAGCGCTCTCTCTCTTTATCTTTTCTTTTTTTTTTAAAGAAATAAGAGGAAGATAATGCGTATATTTACGCTTCCACCAGCAGTCGGCATTTCACCAGAGCCAAACTTCTACGACAGTCTGCAGAAAGTTCGGCTGAGACAACAACTGGAAATGTATTCACTGGGTGGGTTGGACTCATTTTCTCCGTATAAATATGTATCTTGTCCTTTCGAAAAGTTGACATGGTTGGTAATATCTATAGTTTCTGGCAACATGCAGGTACTCTAGTTATTTATCTTAAAATACATATTTGGATATTATGCATTATTCACCACTTTAGCAAGACTATACAACAAGTCTAGCACCCTTCACAGTTCAGCTAATGCTGCATTAAATTGCTGCCCTACCGATCTGTGTTCTCACTACATTTTTCATTTGTTTAACCTCATGTAGGCTACATGTTTTCTCCCCATTATTATTTTTTGTATTACATTTTAAAGGCACAGTATGTAAGTTTTGTCGCTATAGAGGTCGCTTTTTCAAAATAATAACAAAGGCGTAGTTTGATGATGCCGTGAATAAGGGTGGAATCATGGGAGTTGTCGTCTTCACCTCCACAGCCGATGGAAAGCAGTCCGATGGGACTCAGGCAGAAATCGTGTTCATTGGTGAGCTAATGTATTAAAGTTTTATTAACATTACTGTGCTATGAAGCAAGGCGGAGTCGAGAGCCATTAACATTGCTGTTTTTATTATGCTTATATGCCGCAGTCGGCCGCTGCCACTCCTTTCGCTTTGTTGTTTACGCATATTTTATAATTAAAATTACTATTAAAGTTAAAGTTTAACATCCACCTCCTAAAATACATTTGAGTGTGTGAAAGTTATGTTATAATGTTACTCTGTGCGTTTGCTCGGTGGCTGGTAGGAGACACTTGTTGCAAACTGCAATAAACTAGATTGATATTAAAATATAATATTAATAAAAGCTGGATGACTTGTATTTCTAAATGGAATGCAATTCATTTTAATATATATTGAATGGTGGAGAAAATGCTGTATTATTTTTACTACAAATAAAGCTCTTTCTGATTATGTTATGTTAGCCGCTTGACAGAGTAGCATTGTCTCTGAGGCATGGTACAATCATGCTACTCGCGGTAAAACAAGAGATTCATACAATAAGACTTCCGTGTTGAACTAGCTATATAATAATAATAATAGTAGTTTTCGGTCGATAAAAGTTTCCTAACAGTTGCTCACTTGTTTAATAAAATGCATAATATATTACAGCGTCTTTGGTGTTTCAATGGTTCTACGTAAATCGAGGGTAACCCGCGTCATTGACAGGCGACGCAATGACACAGGCCGTTACACAGGTTAGAATAGCTGATTTCTCTGGATTTAAACATTGTTAATGTAAGTAGCCTACAGAAGTAAACAAAATATTGTTTTAGTGTTTTTGGGATATTTGAATCCAAAAATCTTACATATTGTGCCTTTAACTGCACACATGTACATTTAGATTTCCATGTAACAACACAAACACGTCTCATTAAATTACTATTCAGCATCATCTCTTTTCTTAGTCTTCTGTGAGGACATCTCCGACTCCACCATGTTTTAAGAGCAATTTAAAAGGTCCTCAATCTCCATCAACAACCTTATATTTATTCCTAAAAAGCTATCTTTACCATTTTGACATTTGTATAATATCTTATCAGTCAATGTACATGTGTTTTAATGGAAAGCCTGTGATGTGTTGATTGTTCTGATGTACAAATGTGATCGTGCTAAAATGATCTACATGCTGCATACGTTTTTTGGTCATACTTGTGTGAATATTATGAGAACTGTGCCAGAAAGTCGATCTGCAAAACATTTCCTAAACTGTTGAAAAATCCAGGTTTTTAATAGATTAGTCTTCAGCATTCTTATGTAAGGATGAACTCAGTCTTGAAGAGAATAGGGTATCGTCGTAGGTTTGCAAGGTTATAATCGGGGTATTTTCAAATCCCTGTTGTATGTTGTTTTCCCAGCTCGTAAATATGATCAGCAGCAGCAGTCGCAGTCGGACAGTGTGCAGCTGTCAATGGAGTGAAGTCACCAGAGGAGGCGCTCTTCACCCGCATATGGTGCAGAAATGCAGAACGAGTCACAGAGAGAAGGGGATTGTTGAATGTTATTTTTTATTTGAAGAGCCTTTCTTTTTCTTCATTACCTCTCAAACATTCAGAAGAAGTGACAGTTAGTTAAAGAACTTGTGATTTTCTTACAGGGGCATTGGTGGACTATGACACAGACTGCCCTCTGCTGTTGGAAGTGAAATTGCGTGTATATAGGCCAACATCTCAACGTTTCACATGTTTGACAAACATCATCTCTGTGCCGTAATGTTGATCACTGTTTGTGATCCGCATCCAAACATTAAGATCAACATTTTAACTCACCTCAAAATCATTGTTACAAAATGCTATTTAATGTTGACCAAGTAAAGCTGTTGAAAATACTGTACACTGATTTTGTTGTGCATGCTAGGGTACCTTTTTTTTCTCCAGTACTGTATTATATTGCCCTCTAGTGCTAGTTTACATGCATGTCAGTTGTTTTGGGCTGATCTGCAAGGCTGTATAAAGAATAACCTGCCAAAAATAAAGATTTTAACATTAAACAAATGTAAATTAGTTAATTTCATGTAAATTCAGTGGTGTTCTGTAAAGAGGAGGAATAGTCCTCTGTTCTTTATTTATTTAAAAAATTTAAAAGAAACCAAATACAATTCTATTTTGTGTTTTTACATTAACAGTGTTATTAATGTTCTATTTATTAAAAACGAGTATAAAACTCTTCAAGTTAGTGTTTAAATTTTTTATTCCAAAATAATAACTAAAGGCAGTGACAATTTAAACTATTTATTTGTGAACTGATGTTCATCTGTTCTTTTTAATAGTCAACTTATTTTCAGATCATCAGTCATCAAGCTCAGTAAACACTGGTCACATACACGGAGATGTAGCTTTAATTTCCCCAAGCTGATTACTGCCTAAAAAACCCCCACAGTCATCATGTTTTCAGGCCATTTCAAGATTGACTTTGACGTGATATAAAGCGGTGATATCTTAGTGGCTGAGTTTACTTCCTTTTTAATTAGTCTTCCCCTTAACGCATTTATTTTTGTTAATTCAGACTGATTCACGAATGCAGAATTCGCACGAAAACAAAAGGCAGGATTTATTGAATCATATATCCAATCATCATTCATTACCGAACACTTCCAATCATAGCGCGATGGAGGCGTTGCCTCCTCTCATGTGACTTTCCCACATTCATTCTCAATTCCCCAATCTCAATTAGGGTGTCAGTTAAAAGTCAATGGGCTCAGGGGAGGCAAGAGAGACGCGGCATCCCGCTGTAACTTTACCTGCAGGTGTCGCTGCTGGACAGTGTTACTGACAGAAAAACAAGTGATTTACACACTTTTTAATGTCACAATTTAAAATAGTTGCGTTGTTTTATTTTTGTAACATGGATTATTTTCTCATCCTATTTTTTTTTTGAGGAGGAGGCATTGCCTCCTCAAAGGAAACACCTCTTTCGCATACTTCCCTACAAGTTCAACAAACCCTTAATACTAAGTATTAAACAAGTGTTTATTAAACATAAACTTGTTTAAATTATACTATGCATCAAATTGTGCAAATTCTTGAAGTAAAAAGTGATTTACTTCTTTTCTAAATACTCTTTAAAAAAAGGTTCTTTCACGAGTTCCTTTGGCCATATAATCTTTAAGCTAATAAGGTTAAGCGTATTTGGTTTGCTGTCTGCAATGGAGGGGCTCGAGGAAGCAGCTTCAACTCGAGCTTAGATATCTAACTAGATATCGAGCTTAGACTCCTACTGAAATTACGTTGTGAACTTCACTTACTGTATTTGCACCTATGGTTCCATGAAGAACCTTTTACTTCTCTGAAACCTTTCCATTGTTTCTAGAACTTAGCTCCACCCCTTTTCAGCGCTGCACTCGTTGTGTTCCGGTGTTTATTTCCACGGCATGAAGGTAAGATCTTACGGATTTATGAATGAACCACTCGTTTAAAAATCTTCCCGGTCTACTAACATTTATGACATCCTCTTCAAACATTAGAATGCTTGTGATTACTTTTGTTAAAGGTGCACTATGCAGGAATTCCGTTTTTGTCAAACAGCGACCCCTAGAGTCGCTGTGGAGTACTTGTACTGTCGTGAATAGCACTCACGCAGAGATGGCTCTGCACTCACGGCCGGATCCCCTCCCCCTGTACACCGGTACCTGTTCAGTAGGATGGACGCTGTAACGAGTGGAAATAAGGTATGGCCCCTTTAAGAGCTGCGTGCGCCCTGTTTAACTGTCAGCAGTCTGTATTGTATGTGCGTCTCGAACACCACATGTATACGGCGCCGGGTTATTTCTGTTTGATGCCTATTTTATCAGAATTTTATCAGATCTTTTTTCCCGTAAAGCAATTCGTTACATAGCGAGACCTGATATAACTCGACACTTCCTGATGCTGCGGCCGGCGATGCGCCGGCTCAAAGTTGCAAGTGTGTTTTTTCCACTCACATGCGATAGGGGGGTGCGAAACGACCACCATTCAACCCGAAAAGAGTAATATAACCATTCCAATGACTCTGAAGCTGTTCGGTTGAGGTAAAAAACCTGCATAGTTCACCTTTAACTCTACTTTTCGACAGCGATGCCATAGAAATATACAGAGCTACTGCAAAAACGGAAGTTCAAAGACAAAATTCGAAAGATGGCCGTGCGCTTGATACTCTGCCGGTCTACAGCGGGAAAAGGTTCTTTAGATTTAACACACTTGCTGTTAAGAGCAGAATAGACACAGAGCCACCCAGAACACCTTAGCAACATATATAAAATACTGCGACACACACCAAAGCATTATGTTGGCAACTCTTGTATGGATAAGTACCATTCAAATTTTCTTTAAAAAGTGTTAAAATATAGTTTTTTTTTCTTGTTTCAAAAAAACACTGAGTGAACAAAGTGCAAGAAATAAGTCCAAGTGATACAGAAGTGAGAAATGAAAAACATGGAGTGATAAATAAAAGTTAAAAGGTGTGAGAGAGAATCACAATCTTGGACAGTCTCGCTTTTGTTTTTGCGGCTTTGTTCTAATCGTTTATTTTTTTTTCCCTTCATGCCGCTCTTCTATCATTCTCTGGCTTCTGATCCACTGTGGTATCATTTCCCCAGATGAATCACAGAAAGCTAAAGAAATGATGCCTCGCCTCATCTTAGTCATCTGCCCCCCCTCCCACCCTCCCTCCGCTTCCTCTTGCGCTTTCCCTCAGGTCTCTATGGAAATAAGATGAACAAACTCTTTTTAAAATAATTTTTAAACCTCCAATAATTCTAATTTTATTTTATATCTTTCCCTTTTATCCTAAACCCCGAGAGTCTCATAGCAAACCGTATGCTGTTGTAAAACAAAAAAGAGAATTTGCGAAGAATCTTCACGCAGCTTTTTTCCATATCCGTCGAGCTCCAAAAAGAATCGTAACATATGACTCATGTGCTATATTCCAAGTCTTCTGAAATCTGTGAAGAAACAAAATGAAAATCTGAAAGTCTTTCCCCAAAATCAAATAGGTTACAAAACATGCAAGAACCAGTGGTGATTATTGGTGTCATTGACGTCAAAAGGCACCATATTCCATGTGAATAATAGTCATATGGACTATTTTCTGGTGCTTTTTAACATCTTGACAGACATAAAAACATATAAAAGAGCTGTGGGAAGATTCTTCAAATTCCTCTTGGTTTTGCAACAACATGACGGTGAGTAAGTAATTGTATAGGTCTTTTTTTTTTTTTGGTGAACTGTTGCTTTAACACTCAAATAACACATTATCCTTCCATGTCTCTCTCTTTCCTCCCCCCCCCCGGTCCCCCCCCCCCCCCCGGTCCCACCCCTTCCATTGTTTAACGAACACACAGAGAACTGAATTCCAGGTATTAACGCATGACATGCATCAACACAAATCTTACACATTCGTTCTGCATCCGTTTGCAAGCTCAAACCAGAAAAAATAATCAATAAACCAGAGGAAAAATAAACCAGAAGGGTTGAGGAGCAACGTCCATGGCCGCTGGATTTCAACACGTTCATCAGTGTATGGTTGATGTTTACTGTCTGGCTGTCGTTCCCTGCCCTGTCTCGATCCACTGCGCTGTTCTGAGACCTGTGGCTGCTTGAAGCCCAGACAGATGTAAACATGGCCTGACCGCACACACTGGCCCCAGGCCAGCGGCTGGCAAAAACAGCCAGGAATGTCAGTGCCACGGCCCGACTCCCTCTTTCTGGGTTTTTACACCCAGTTACACTGGCCCACTGCCACAAGGCCCCACAAACCGGTCAGTGTTAAACAGAATCACTTTATTTAAAGGCATGACTCAAGGAGGTTGTGATCTGCTTATACAACATGCTTATGAATAGTACAAACATTTATAAATGCTGTGAGTCAGCAACATTTGAGTTGAAATAACAGTTTATGAAACCTCAGTGAATGCATTATGCAGCTTTCAGGCCTGTAACTTGGTGCAGACGGTGAGATTATTATTTAATGTGGCTGTCCCGTCTGCTTTTTTGTAAAGTTCAAAAAGCTACGGACAGCCACTTGGAGGTCATATGTTATGTCAATGTCACATCCTCCCGACTTCTCGGGTATCTTATCATGAACTGCATTTCCCATAACCCATTGCCTGGACTTATTATGTTTGCTTAGCCCTACTTGTTAATGCCTGCCTATTTAAGCCCTGTGTTTTCACTCATTCGTTGCGAAGTCTTGTAAGTGTCGCACTGCATTTCTGAGTGCTCTCCCTCTGGTGGCCTGAGATTTGGTTTTGACTTTCTGCCCAGTTTCCCAGATTCCCCTGTGTTTTTCAGCCCTGTGGTCTCTTTGGTTTATCTGCCATGTGTTTTGATCTATTGACTGTTTTATGGATTATGATTCTGGATTGCCCCAGTAAAGCTGCATTTGGATCCTCAACCGTGTAATAGCAGTTCATGACAGTCAAATCTAAATTTATATTGCACAATTTAATCGGATACCTTATCAGTACAAAACTGTAAACGTAACTGTAAGATTGCTTTTATACAACAGTTCAATAAACTAAAAGTTCACATTGAAAATGTACGTTTTAGACAGAATATTGACAGATACTTTCTATAGTTTTGCTCAGCCAATGAAAATAGTTCCACATGAACCCAGAGCATAATCGCTATACACAGTAGTGGCGTTCCTGAATGAAGCAATGGTTTTGAACAAATCGATTGGATGAATTATTCAATGACTCACTCATAAATACTGTCAGCTGTTAAGTTTATGAATTAATCGGGATTTTTCATTAATCAGATGACGTCCAAGTGATCTGAGGGCGTGGGCGCTTCGGTCTGCGCAAGCGCCGGAAGTGATCTCTCGCGCGTGTACGCACTCATTGTTTACACAGAGATTTCGGAAGTGTTACCTTTCACTGTGAAGATCTAAACATATTTAGATATACAGGAAATCGCAATGGAAGACGATTTTGATATATCAACAAACAACGTTGAATTTTTTTCCGCAACCTTGCGAGAGATCACTTGCGGAGACCAAAACGCCCGCGCCCTCAGAT